CCCCAAAACCCCAAAACCCCAAAACCCCAAAACCCCATCATTTAAATTCCTTGCTGATTAATTTATTCATAAATGGATGCCTTACACAACATAATAAAAGGAGTCAATTCTTACAACAAGTATAAGAGAAGAGAGGAAAAAGAAGAGCGCAAAAATGCATTTGATAAAGCAGATATTTTGGAAACTGATAAATCTCATGAAAGAAAGAAGTCGAAACATAGAAAGAGCAAAAGTAAAAAGAGAAGTAAATATATCCAGAAATAGGACCCTAAGCACATTATAGGCAAGGATAAAGAGGACAGGGACAGACGCAGAGAAGAAAAGAAAGACAAGAAGGACAAAAAGAGGTAATCTCTCTTTTTCCATTTCTACACCTTACTTTTTCTTTTCTTTCATGCTGCCCATTTCAACTAAATTTTAGGAAGAAATCCAAATAAATCTAAGAAGACCAGATCCTCTAAGAAGGATAAACCTGCAAAAATAGGTAAGATTAGAGGCTAATCTTGTTCAGATTATGAAAAAGAAAGGGAAGAGAACCGTATGAAGAAGTTACAAAACAGGATCAGAAAGATGGAGGATCCTATGGAAGATGTCTGGAGACCTCATATGTACCCAGTTCTCCCTTAATGCATGTATAGACTCCAAACAGGCCCTCAAAAGAAGTTCAGTGACACAGAATCGGATAAAAGTTCTTAACTAATTCCTTGTACTGTTTGGTGCTAATTTTGCTCTCTAAATGTCAGATATTTGAAAATACGTTAGGAAAATTTGCTTTGATCTTCTTAGGTCTTTTGTTAAGTCTCGTATCAGGACCTCCTCTTAAGCCTGATTCCCACTGGATTGTTGACAGCTGCTTGCTTCCACCAGAGCCTTTTCTGACTAAGTGGAGGATACTGCCCATGTTCTTCTCCTTCATAACGCTATAAAGGATTAGATGCTATCTTACGCATGCTTTGGGAAGGCATAAGACCCCTCAAAAGCAGAGACTTTAGTTTTGGCTTCTTCACCTTGGTGAGTTTTGAACTAAATATTAGATAAACCCAATACCAAATCCTTAAAATTATGAAGTGTCTTAGTAAACTTGTTGAACTGATAGACTCCCCTTGTCGTCATGGGAGGCAAGAACTCAGGAATATCCTCCTTACCGATCCTAAGAGGAATAGTCGAGAAATTTCTATTTTCTTGAATTTCCTCTTGACTGGGGCAGTCTCTTCTGACTGCTTGCTGATCTTCTTTTGTTCAGATTGTGTTCAGACTGGTAGCTTCTGAGTCCTATAATGACATCAACGGGGGATTTACCGGTCTCGAATGTTAGCTGGCTAGGATTAGCAACTTGGGCTAGCCTATGCCTTGTCAGATGCTCTATCTATCTGGATTAGTTCAAAACGTTACATCAGCATGATTTCCATTGTATTTAAACGAATCTAGCGTGACTTTCTTTCCTTTGCTAGCTTTAGTCTGCTTAAAGAATACACTCGGAGGGTTAGCAAACGTCGTAGAAGGCCTTTTCTTATTCCTCAGACTTGTTAAAGCTGCATTGTTCAGTCTTAGCTTGAGAATCCAAGCCAAGTCAATATCATTAGCATTTGACTCACTCAATATATGAAGGTATTCGTTTAGATTTGCTATTCGATATATGAAATTCAAAGATACAAAACAAAAAATAATATGAAACAGTTTGTACCTGGTTTTACAAATCCTCCCTTTTCACTATAGAATAAATTATTAGAAATTACTCTTTGTGGGTTCTTACGTCTATAGTTTTCAGATGGTCGTTCCTATTTCTATCTATAAAAACTGTCACCTGCAGTCTCTCAATCCCAAGACTTCTCTGACGCCCAAATACCACCACTGGTGCTTACCTGAGGTTAGTAACTTAGACCGGCTCCTTGCGTTGGCCCTGAGGGTCCCGCTTGCCGTCTGGCTTTTAGCTCGGTTGGCTCCTACACTCATTTTATTTATTTCATTTTTAAAATTAGAATTTGGGGTTTTGGGGTTTTGGGGTTTTGGGGTTTTGGGGTTTTGGGGTTTTGGGGTTTTGGGG